TCTTCATTGTTTACTCGAATAACTGAACTAGATCCAGTTAATCCAAGAGCGCCCTAACCCATTCTAGCGAGTCCACCCTACAAGCTACAGAGAAGCAAACCAAAGTTAAAGGCTATTTTCTAAAAGTGCATTTTCTAAAAGGCAAAAAGATCCAATGTACCTGAGTGTGTGGGTAATTCTTTAAAAAAAATAATTAAAAAAACAACCATTTTTAGGCATGTATATAAAGTTCAATAATTTCTGCCATTCAATACCAAAAAAATCTAAACTGGTAGATGGTGCCAAAATGCTCCAATGGCAACATGTCTGGCAATGAGTTTATTAAAAGTTTTATCACCTTTTACTGTTTCACTTCAGCAGCATCAATCATTATATAATGTCCATACATCGGTTCCTGGTTTTCTGGAGTTTATTGTCTACTCAAGCATATTTTTAAAGTGGTTTTATGCAATAAAATCCAAAAATAAATTAGGAGAGGTTAAAATATACTTACTTTTTCTATGTTCGAGCCTCAGTAACATTGACACAGTTGAATCAACTATAATATTTACATCTCTGATGAAATCTCAGAAGCGATAGCTTTATTTTAATACCAAGATTGTTTACACGGAGTTTGTTATAGCAAAGAAATGCTGTTCATTTTGGGTGTGGTGTTTTTAAGCAGAAAGCTCAGAAAGACATTTCTGACTCAAATAATAGCTATTCATTTCTGCTGAAGATATATATATATATATATTTTGATATACCTTTATTAGTCCCACAAGGGGAAATTTCATAAGGCTGTCGACCTATTGCACCTTGAAAGTTTAACATGTGAAAAATTAAATAAAAAGCAGCTTTTTCTAAATCAGTTTCCATGAAATATTTATATTTTTTGGAATAAACCATGGAATAAATAAAGAGTGCATAATTGGTTTCTATACATACAGTATATACACGGGTGTGTACGGTAAGGAGTATAAACAGCACACTGTGGTTCAGCAGCATGTATGGTGGATGTTTTAAATACAGACAGTTTAGCCTGTGGAAAGACACCGTACACATGTCAGAGGTTAGGAGCTGTTACAGTGTTCAGTGTGTGATGGGTCTGCAGTGATGATACCTGCTTGTTTCCTGATTGGAGGTCAGTTCCGCAGCAGTGATGTTTTCTGCAGACCTCACTGTCTGCTGTGGTCTGTTCTTGTCCTATTTGGTGGCTTTGATGGAAAAGCAGAGAACAGAGAGGATTACTGCAGAGTGAAAATGGATCAATAACTTCAGCTGAAACAGTTCTCTGTCTGCTACTTCTTCATGTTGTGACCTCCTCTATCGGTTTGTTACAGAGATTTTCACCATGACGTGAAAGCAGCTCCCAGTGACTCTAATATGCAGTAGTGTTTGAACATGTGTAGCAGGGCTCTTTGACTCTGGCCGGATGCTCAGGGAATATGTGAATATTTGAGCTTCACCCTGTTTTAAAAACACTAATATGTTTCATGTTTCCTCTCTGTGTCTCAAGTTATCCTCAGGTGATCACTTCATCATTTGCCATGTCATGTTGAGCCTCTGGTTGAGGACCATGAGTGGTGGAGATTGGACCTTCTTCCTGACCCCGAAGACCCACAGAGCCAGCATAGGCATGTGCCCTTTAAAACTGAAACCTGGGAGGACGGAGCTGTTCAAGGATGGCCTGAAAAGCTGCAACGCATTGATCAAGATCAAGAAGGTGGAGCTCTCAGGTGAAGGAATATACAGATGTTTCCTGCCAGAGTTACAAAGCCAAGTTTTTTTTTCTCTCTCTGTTAATTAAAAACATTTTTTTCACAGTCAAACGTTGCTAAAACTGTGGTGACAACAGCAGTGCTGCGATCCAGACCTCTGCAAACAGCAGCTGTGAATGAAAAATAACAAAATTAGAGGTAAAAATATTCTTTGTAAAGATCACAATAAACAGTGACCTGTTTTATGCCCTATTCTCAAATAAGTTGGAGCTTTGTAGAAAATATAAATAAAAACAGTGATTTGCAAATCACATAAACTCATTTGATTCACAGCAAAACATAGAAAACACCAAGTGTTTAAATTGAGACCTTTTACTATTTATTGAAAAAACATCAGCTCAGTTTGAAGCTGATGGCAGCAACACAAAAAAGCTGGAGGGATAGTTTGTCACTACCTGGCAGCAGGTCAGTAACATGAAATAAAAAGAGGCAGAGCTTCACCTGTCAGCAAAAACCTGTTTCTACTAATCGTGGAATAACTTCAGAATAAAAGTGCAAAGACTTTGAGTTCTCCTTCAGTAACGTCTTCTCTGTGGGATGTTCTTATTTTTAGGTGGAGGAGGACTGATCGCTGCTGCTGCAGCAGTGGGTTTCTTCCTCCTGCTGATCCTGGGTGGAGCAGGTGGATGCTTGCTTAGACAGAGGTCAGTTTCTATCAGAGCACTTTCATCAAATATTATTGTTTCTGTTGTTCCATCTCTGCTTTGAGGTTTCTTAAACTTGTGATATTCATTTGTATTTTGTTTTAAAGAGAGTGACTCCTGCTCACACACCAGTGTAGAGGCCTTGATGAAGAGAGCCTCAGCATGTGGAAAGCAACGGCTGGACACAAAGAGTCAGAAGAAGAGATCCTGGAAGCTGCTGAAAAGAAAACCTGAACATTTCTTATTGAGCAGAAGTTTGGATTTCATCTTGAATCTCAACACCAGTCACTCATGTTACGTGCCAAGAGGTGTGGCTTTGCTTTTGTGTTCTATTTATCTTTCAGGTGTCAAGCCTCCACCTATTGGCCAGTTCGAAGTTGATTGGCATGTGTCTATTGGCTGGTCTGGGCCCAGTTGGCCAATCACACGCCGAGGATTACTACAAATGAGCAGCTCCCTTCCCAGCTGGTGGCTGCTGGCTTCTGCTATGACAAACATTTGCGAACAAGTGTCTTTGTATTATGTGTGGTGGGAGGCTGGGTTACCCTATACACTGATTGCAGGTGTTAAACTGTTAGACACACTAGTTTATGCGGTTGATGCCACTTTTGTATGTTTTCACTGACCTTTTGTCGAGCAGCTAGGTAGGCCTTTTTTTTTTTCATTTTTGTTTTAGTTAGGCCCTGGAAGCTATCGACCTCTTTTTGTTTTATTACTTTCTTTGATTTGGCTCAACTGCCCAGTCCTCCTCCCCCACCTTTTTTCTTATAGATTCCAATAAATCCTGCCTGATTCTTAACTGTCCTGTTGTCCTCCTCCTTCATTGATTGTGGTTGTCCGGTGTTGCTGTCTCCTTCCTGCCTTTGCCGCCACCATGGTGGGGGGGACGTAACACTCATTAGAAGCTGTGAGCTGATGTCAGAGTCAGGAAATGAAGGAAGGACACACAGAGCCTAATCTGATCACTAAGACCTCTGATGTTTGTCTTTTGAGGTCAGAAACTCTGCAGCCGACCTGGAGCTACAGGCTGGTTCACCTGAAGACCTTAGAGGCTGAACACACAGAGCTCCAGCTGTGCTGCGTCCTTTCAGTGCAGTAACAGACCTGGACACTAGAGGTCACCATTTGATTTAGTGTCAAAACATTAAAAACACTGACTTGTTCCACATATGAGTGGGAGCCTCTGCTTCCAGCATATAAACATGTCAAAGAGTGTTTTAAAACTAATCTTATATACTTTACATAATTTTAAATATAATTATTTTCTATTTATGTGACTACATGTGTAGCATACATTTGATTTTTAGTCAAGTTCATATAACATACATTATAAATATGAAGCTAAAAAACTTTTTGATAAGAAAAAGATTATTTAAAAACATTCAGGAACATTGTACACGTACTGTTTTGTATTTAAATGGTTGTAACCTATTACTGTAATGAACAAAAAAGAGTCGTGAAGCACGGCAACAGAATAAAGGCAACAAAATTTGAAGCATAGATGAAATACATTTTTTGAAAGTTTGACCATTGCAGTCAAACTTGACCCAAAAGAAGAGGTCAGAGGTCCAGAGTAACCTGATATTTATAATGCCCATGTACCATTCCCTACATGCTGTCAGTACCAACACTGACATAGTTTTAAATAAATGGCTCTACATAACATTATCATTACTCTGACTTTCAGGTTGATCTGTTGAACTTGGGGAGAGGTCAGAGGTCAAATGTGATATGATATTGTAAGTCTCCGACTTTATAAATGTTGAAATTACACAGCACGCTTTTAAGAATCATAATTTTTGACTTTTACGTTTTTTTGTCAATTTTCAACCAACAACTCAGAAAGTTTACCGTGAAGACCTCGATGGATGTTAGCCAGATTTTATTGGATTGTTATAACATGATCCTGCTCTACACCCTACAGAGTTTTATCAGAATACTTTCAAACTTTTAGAGCTGTTGTGTTTACAGACAGAATGAAATGCAAATGTTGCCAAAAACATGAGCTTCTTGTTGAAGGTAATAAGAAACTCCTGAAACCATTTTGAACTCCTCTTTGGTTTACGCATGATTGAACTGATGATGATGAACTCAGGGAGAGGTCAGAGGTCAAACGTGACATGATATTTAAAATCTTTATACTTTATAAATGTTGTTACACAGTGCACTTGTACAAGTGTACAGGTTTTAAGACTTTTTGTCAATTTTCCACCAACAAGTCATAAAGTTGACCTTGGTGGACGCAAACCAGATTTCAATGGATTGTTATAACATCATCCTGCTCTACACCCTACAGAGTTTTTAGAGCTGTTGTGTTTACAGACAGAATGTAATGCAAACACTACCAAAAACATGAGCTCCTTGTTGAAGGTAATAAGAAACTGCTGAGCTATCTACACATGCTCTGTAGTGATCTGATGCAATATGCAATCAAGGTCAACCGTCCCTGTGTTTGTCATGCTCAGTGTTTAGCTGATAAACACCAAGGAATGTGCAGCAGTGAACGTTAGAAACTGATCAGACTTGAGTGTCTGGTTTCCAGTGACTCGTTAATCATTGTCTCAGTCTTCATTTCCTGCTCGGCCCCAGCGACTTGTTTCACTTTGAGAGTGACAGATTGAATCACTGTTTCAGCGTCTAGGGTCTTTATCTGTGGTAAGTCTTTTTTTTTTTATTTGTTTGTTTTGTTTTTCATTTGTTTTGAGTCAGAGAACAAATAAACAAGAACCTTATAACAAAACACTAAAAATGTGAAAAACAAAGGGATTTTTTTCTACATGTTACTGAATAAACTCTGAATAAAGTCAGACTGTTGTTTCTCTGTCAAACTGTGAGCACATACAAGATGAAAAATGTCTGTCAGTTGTTAAAAGCTCCAAATGTAGCAGCAAAAAGCTGTATTATGTTTATAAAGAACTGTTCCTGGAGTCGTGCAGAGACCTGCACGTAAAGCAGGACTTTGTCTCATCAAGGTGACTTAAAATAAACTCTGAGCTTTCAGTTTTAGTCATGTGCTTAAGTTACACTGATACTCAGCAAGTTAATTTTAAACTAAATGGATCATAGTCTAAGCCAGACGTTCCCAAAGTGTGGGGCCCGCCCCCTAGGGGGGACGCAGAGCCATTGCAGGGGGGGCACGGCATGAAAAGGGAAAAAAACCCAAAAAACAATGCTTGGACACTGCTAGCACGGGGCGCCCACACAAACGCAAAGCAGGAGATGAAGCATAGCTGAATATGTTTCCAAACCAACTTCATTCTAAGCCAAAGACTAGAAAATATGGTGAAGCATATCTTCCCTTTG